AAAACATGGGCATAGTAACAATATTTTTATACTACATTTATCCATTTTAAATATACTAACCTCACTCCTTTGTAACAACTAAGGCAAAAATGTCATTAATTCAGAAAATCTTTTCAGGACCCCACCTTGATGTTTTGGGACCCCACTTTGGGTCCCGACCCCAACTTTGGGAAACACAGGGTTAGAGGACAACTCCCTTAACTACTCAGCCACAGCTGCCCAATGTTTAATTAACAGTTCAGGTAAAACTTTAACAAATTTCTGCAGTGATTCAACACRTAGTGTTCAGTAGTCTACGGTTCTGTTTAGACGGCAGCCTTACATAATAAGTAATTGAGTAGTTGAAAGGTCCATGGTTTATTTCAAGATTAAGCTGGAAATCCTTCCTCCCAGCAGACACTAACCACAGACACATTTACCTCTCCAGTTTGATGGCCTGCAGTAGTTTGTTCAAATAAACTTTATAATCAAGTTGCCCTTAACTGAGCAGTCAGTTGTGTTCTGTTAGAGTGGAACAGTTGATGTTTGGAAACGTGAAAAAGAATAAAGACAATAAATAACTCTTGTTAATTAGTGTTAAGCCCTGCTGATGAAGYGTGTGTGACTGTTAACAGTGTGGCAGGAGGTCGAGCAGAAGCTGGAGGACAAGGACAGAGGGGAGTCAGCTGACCGCCAAGGACCAGTTCAGTACACTGAGAAGACCCCCAGTGCTGTGAATAAAAGTGAGTACCACTTAAAAAAAATAAAAATATATAATATAATTCTTTAAACAAGAAAATCTGAATTCATAAAAATCTGGAGACTGATGATTTCTAAGGTCTTATCAGATGGTCCTCTTCCTCCTGCTGAACTTTAAACTCGTAAACCTTTAAACCTTTTTATTTATTATCCTGACTCATTAAAGACGTCTACACAGAAGCATGTAGAGTCTGCTTTAATCGTCCTGCAAGAGTCACACGTCACGTTGTTTTCTTTTATCTCCTGTTGCAATAACCTGCTTTAATTTTTAACCTGCTTTAATTTTTAACCTGCTTTAATTTTTAACCTGCTTTAATTTTTAACCCACTACTTTGCTTTGAGAACATCTGGCTGTTCCAGATTAACCAGTCATGGATCTATAACACACACACACACACACACACACACACACACACACACACACACACAC